AATCTTGACTCAGTCAATCCTTCCTTCAACAGAAACAAGTCTGTCCTTAATCATCTCAGTGGCCCTTCTTTGTAGTCAACTTAGTACAGTTATTTTTAGAAAAGAAAGAAAGAAAACTGCCCATAATAGTAAAAAATATAGCACTACATGGATTGGAAAGCATATGAAAATGAAAACAAAGAATTTTGCATTTCTTTTCCTCATGATTCCTTGGTTTGTTTGGGTTTTTTTATAGCTAATGAGAATGAAACATTTACTAGTGAACAGGGGAAAAAAAAATGAAACAAACAAAACCCAACAACCAACCAACAAAAAAAAAAACAACACAACAAAACTCAGCCAAACAAAACCCCCCCAAAACAGTGTGTGCAATATAATTGGTATCCTTGCACATGAAAGCCATACTAGATAAAATATGTTAATGCGTATTTCTGATTGCACACTGCATTATATTTATCTTAGGCTCAGTAAGTCCTTTGACATTCCTGGCATGATCCACTAGAAGGAGAGAAATAAACCAGTAAGGCATTTTCAGTACAAGTCTAACTACTTTTCCAGAAACCTTTAATGTTTCCATCTACTGAGATACTGATAAGTCTTGCTGTGTTAGCCATTAAAAAGATATTCAGCAAAACCAAACAATTCATCTCCCAAAGGACTTTCAACCTTCTATCAGGTCTCATTGAAAAATGGCATTGAAAAAGTTAGAGGTGCAAAAAATTCTAACAATAAACATATTAAAGGTGTTTGCACAGTGAGGCAAGGTTGTGATTCACTCTCTGAACCAGATTAGGATGTTGCAAGAGTGACTTTACACTGCAGTAACATTTATTTTCTGCTTCTAATAGATAGGAAGTGATGTCTCCAACTGAGATGGAGCACATTGCTCCATATGTTATATTTATTTTTATTTGAGAAACCTACTTAAAAATTGACAATCTGTAGTAATCCAGAAGTCTAAGTTTCCATTTGGTCCCTGTATTACTTAGGCTAAATTCTGACTTGTATCTCCAGTTACAATCTGCTATCTGCCCACAGGAAGTGTTTGTCAGGGAAAAAAATAATAGTGAATTGCTTATAGATACAAACATCCACTCCAACAAAGGTGGCAGGGAGCCTTTTCAAGCCATTTTGTCACCATAATGTTAACTAGTGATGTTGCTTTCCAGAGTACATCTTCAAATCTGCAGTGCCCTGTTCACATCCTGGGTTTTAAACTGAAACAATGAATTTACCACTGTATGGACCACCTCGGTGGTGTGTGGAAGAAATGCTTTCTCTTCCTGTTTGCATACAGTCATAGGAATGGTAACTGTGTGAAACAAGACAAATGATACTGTAAGAATACATTCAGCAATACAGACTAAGTCGTTAGGAAAAGGATGATCCAGCAGTGATGGAACAGGGTCAGGTTCCAGCACGCAGAGTGGAAATACTCTTTTGGAATGCCCTACTTAGCTTCAGGTCTCTGAGGCAGAGACCCTGTTACTCGGGGTTTCAGAGCTGCCTGCCCTGGAGAAGCAGATGGAAAATAGGGCTCCATTTGGACATCCCTGTAGAGTTGGTAATAGTAGAACTATGACTTTATTTGTTAAGTTAATGTAATACAGATCTTTATTTATTCCAGAGGTATTTGAGATGCTAAGGGCTGTGGTGGAAAATAAAACAGCCTGGTGACATTAACCGCAGCTAGATCACAATCATCATTTCTAGTTTGTTTGGTATTTTTTTCTGTGAACTGCCAGGTTTATACATCACCTGTTTCTTCCAGTGCTTTTTAGGTCGATGGTACATCTGCCTAAGTGTTCTCATTTAAACTCTCAGCTACCAGTCTAGAAGCAAAAAAAACCCAGTTTTGGCACATCAAGGACAATATAGTTTCTAGACATTTTCTAGGAAACAGCAGCTTAATATCTCAAGCTGGGCAATTAAACATATTTTACTGGTTTTGAAGCTGGAAAATAATATCGCAAGAGAACAAAGGCTTAAATGGATCAAATCATTTTCATGGGAGGGAGGCTGGAGGGGCTAGGGGGGCTGG